AAAAAAAAAAAAAAAAAAAAAAAGTGCGAGCAGATGGATATATAATTTCAATATGCAAGGCCATATACTGAGAAGAGTGAACAAACACTTACCAAATTTTCCATAGGGAATGAATTAACTACCAACTTAGTTACAGTTTCCTGATCAAAATATTGGAATTGAAAAATGTCATCAGATGAAAATTTTAGAGTTGTTTTAGATAAATATAGACGTTTAAGTTTAGATCACAATTCACAAGAAAAATGAATACAAACATCCAACCATGAAGGAGGAAAAGTAAAAATGCAATTACAGAAATTTCAAAACTATTAAATGTAAATTCCTTTTTACTCTTATATGTATGGTCAATATTTAAATACCTAAAAAAAAAAAAAAAAGGACATGCCAACAGAAAAAAATGCTCAACAGAGTTCTCTAAAATTCATTTAATAATGTAAAAAATCAATATTGTATATTTCGATGCATGAATTAGTGAAACTCTTAGACTTTTCTTTCTTAAAATAGGTTATTTAAATATTGAAATTCTTTATATACACTTAATTTTAAAAATAAAATTATATTGCCAAAATTATCCTTTCAAAGTTTCACCTAATTAGTATTCTTTATTATTTTCTTAGAGAAAATATCAAATAAAAGCAATTGTTATCTTCTAATTTTATAAATTAATAAATATTTTAAATAAAAAATTAATCTAATAGTTATTTTGTATGTATAGTTAACTCAAAAGATGTACCTTTTGCTTTTGTCTAAGTCCAAAAATAAATGGTTCTCGCATGTACATGAAATGAATTAATTTAGTCATGTAAAAAATAGGTAACAATGAAATTAAAATAAAATAAAAAATCATTGGGCTCAAGAAATTAAACATAGCGTGTTTGGAAACTCATAAGCTACTGTTTTTAGATTCCATCTTGATACGAATTTAGAGCTTGATACGAATTTAGAGTTTCAAATGTGTTTCTAAACATGCAAATATATATTGATAAAATTTATAAATGGGATCACTGTATTTTACTCATTTTTCCTTGTACGAAATCATGTTAAATTGAGGTAGCTAAATTTCGATAAACAATAATAAAGAAAATCTATAAACAACACAAATTTATTTTACACAAAAAAAAAGGAAAATCATTGATATATGATGTGTTTGAATATCCCTTCTCATTTGGTTTTAAAAACAAAATTTTAATAAAATAATTTCATGTTATTAAGCAATCAATTTCTCAAATAAAATCTATTAAATTTTGAAAAATGTTTCATAAACAAAAAAAAATCCCAAAACAAATATTTCAAACTAAAAATATAGAAAGAAATAAAATAAATTTTCTCATTTACTTTCATTTTGTGGTTGTAATTCAAGAGCGTGGGTCATTTAGTGAAACATGATGATATGCGTGTCTATTTTCTTTGTTTATTTTTTTTAAACTAAAAGAAATTTTAAAATTAGAAAACAAAAACATCCATAGTATATATATTTTTCTGTCAAGTTAAAGTCTCTCCTCTTTTTTTTTTTTTTTTTGGTTCGTTCCTGAAGTATCTACCACCGACAGCAGTGACTAATCTCCTCGCTACGTTGGGGGCACCTCAAAGGGTAGGATAGCTGACCCTGACCTTGTTTAAGCCTCTCCTTTTTGGTAGAACTGTCGTGAGAGCCACATCATTGGTCTGTACTTTGATTGTGTAAAATTTCATTATATATAGTATTTAAAAAAAAAAAAAAAAAAAAACTGGTTTAGCTGTACCTTTTGTTTTCAAAGGTACACAATTATGTGAATTTTTCTCTTATATTTTTTTTCACAAACTTTGTTCCACAACTTTTAAAAACTTCACAATTTTTACCCTCACGTACTTAAATTGTCACAAATAAGACAATTTTGTGACAATTATTCTTTTAAATGTCACAATTAAGACAATTTCCACAATATTTTCTTGTGGCGATTTAAATACATGATGCTGAAATTCTTAACATTTTGTAAATCGAGGGGCAAAATTTGTAAAAGAAAATGGCTTGGGGCAAAATTTGCAAGATTGTTTAATTTTTTAGGGCAAAAATGCAACTAACAAAAATATGAAGAAAAAAAATAAAAATTCTGGAGATTGTAACAAAATCATATGATGTTTTCTATGTATATTTTGTTAAAATTTTATTAATGTATTATATCTAACGATTTCCTCATATAAAAAAGTCAGAAAATTGAAAACCACGTCATTCATTTTACCTGATTTTTTTTTTCGTTACATATGACAATCTTTAATATTAAATTTTAAAAATACAAAATTTGATGAAAACTATTTCACGTGTTTGGTTTTTTTTTATTTGCTAATTTTTTTTTCTCTATTTTCATCAATCCTAAATTTTAGTATCTCTATTTTAAAATAAAATTTTTTAATCTATCTAATTTTAAAGATATAAAATTTTGATTTTTTGTCAAATTAATATATTAATAGTCAAGTTTTAACATTTATTCATATTTTAAGTCATATGACTTTTGAAAATTAAAAAATTATGCAAATAAGATTCATTAATAAAATAAATATCAATCACTCGTTAAAATAATATATATAATTTTATTCTGATGTTATTTTTTAATTTCTATCTTTATATGTCATATCATTAAATAACACATCAATTAAGTTGTGACAAATCAATAAGCAACATTAAAATTCAACAATTACTGAACATTAAATTTATAGTAGAACCAAGATTTCATATTTTTAAAAATAAAGAAATTAAATGTCTCCATTTAAAGATAAAAGGACTAAAATTATGAATTTAAAAAAATAAATGGACTAAAAAGATGATTTAACTTTTTTATTATTAAAATTGTTATTATTTGTGATTTTTTTTTAATATCTCACAAGTATTCTTTGAGTGATAGTCCTATTCAAATAGTAAGATCATATACTAAATGTAACCACTTTAAAAAAAGACAATTTTTTGATAAAAGTCTTGTTTAAATTATTATGTATGCTATGGTTGCTCTCAAAATATGGATTCTGACACAAATAATTATTGTTAGCATTTTGGGAAAGGATTCGGACACAAATAATTCCCTCACACAAAATCACCCAAAAAAATATATTTGGCTATTACAGTAAAAAAATGATTAAAAAAAGGAAGGAAAAATATAAAATTTCAACCCAAAAGAACTATAATTTAAGTGTGAAAATAATACCTGATGAGAGAAACAGAACTATTAGTCAAGGAAACTTCAAAGTAGCACATGAAGATGAAACTCCATCGTGCAGAATTGTTTATCAGACTGCACATTGGAAATAACAAAGGTGGTGACTTTGAGGAGTTATATTGATAACTTACAAAAAAACACTACGTCATAGTCTAGATATTTTCATGATGCCCCTTATTTATGATAAGTTGGAAATTTCAAAAGATTAAGATTATAGCTTAATTAATCTATTTTTAATTTCTATAACTATTTTGCTTGTTAGATAGGCAAAATAATATTTTGAAATCCTGAATTATACATAGAGGATTATTTACAAGTTATTGAACACTCTAATATATCACACACACAAAATGTTTGTAATTTCTGGTAAAACTATGTAAAGATCATGAAATCACAAGTTTTTCAAAGTTTAAAACTTTTTTATTTGGTGTTCTTTTATGATTAACTTACCCATTTCTATATGGATCCATCACCAATGGAAAAGGTTGGTGTTAATTAACATTCATTCAAAAACCATTTGTTAAGTAATTGTACAATAAAAATATTACATTTTAGATTTCACAAATGTAAGTTTATTTATTTATTTTATAAATCCAGTGATTTTAATATGAAAACATTCGATATACAGTGTACTCAAAAGTCAAAAGATAGAAAACAACAAAATTGCTTATATGATTGTAGTAACTTACTAACATTTACTTATTTTTTGAATTTAGTACATAATGGTGACACCACCATCCATAAGGAGTTGACAAGAAATAGGGTGAAAGGTAATGAATGCACTAGTCTTGATTGATTCATTTATTTGGGATCCATAAATGTTGAATGAAGAATTGAATTTGGAGTGCAAAGACAAGATGTAATAAACCAAAGGCTTTTTTTACGGCAGGCACTATGCATTGTAACCAAGTGGCTCACACCAAAACACTCCTTCTTTTTTGTTGCAATTCACTTTTATGTCTGCCACTTACCTTCACTCTTACATATGCATTATTTATGGTCCACTTAAATTGGGTTAGGTAGTGATTCATTGTTATCCATAAATTGTT